GTTTTTATTACACTTATTTACATATATATACGTTTTTAATTTTTATATGATAAAATTTTTGAATTTTATTAGTCGAGAGAAAAAATTAGAGGATTAGATCAACAACTTGCAGATTGTAAAAATGACTTTCAACAAGTAATTAATTACATTTAATTATTTTTATGATTAACATTTTTTGTCCTGATCCACGCTTTAATTATTTTTTTTTTTAATTAGGTGGAAAAATTAATTAAAAATATCATTGAAACTATTTTGGAATATTTGCCTATGGTTCTAGCACGCGAGAATAAAACTATAGATGATGAAAAGGTATAAATCAAAATATGATTACTATATGCCAGATAATAAAATATTTAAATGTTTATATTCATTTGCATTCCGATTTTTATAGAAAAACATGGAAAAAAATCTGAATCCTGTAAATATGATACGGAAGCTAGGCGATTTCATCAAAACTTTAGATGAAGAATTGCGCAGTGCCAAAAAGGTAAAAATTTTCCTGAAAAATTTTTTTTTAATTAAATATATATATTATATATAAAATTTTTATGTTTATAAAAGTCATTGGAGGAGAGAAGAGATGTAAATACAAAAAGGAAGCAAACAATGAAAATTCAAACTGGTTTATTAAATGATCTCAGTAAAAAATTATGGAGCAATTATTCTAATTTTAAATCAATAGCAACCAAATTAGAACTATCTGTGCCATCTCTTCTTTCAGAAGATAAAGGAAATGATAATGATGACGATGTTAATGTTGACGAGCAACCCAATTCATCAAATCGTAACCATAATAATCAACGATACCCCATGGAAGAAGCCTTGCGTAAATTATTTGAAAATGATGGCAATAATAATAAAGAATTGTTAAAAGATGACATTAATAACCTTTTGGAATTTGTATCTAAACTTGATTTTACTGAGTTCGGTTCTGTTATAGAGAATAAGATTAAGCATGCAGAAACACTAACAGAAAGATTCAAAAGAGAGAGCAGTTCATACAAAAGTGATTATATATTTCTTTTTGTTTTTTTTTCCTTATAATAAAAATATACTAATTGTACTTCTTAAAAATAATTTTAATAGATAAATATTATGAACAGAGACGTGAATCTAAAGAAAAAATTGCATTCCGTAGGTTTTTCATCGTCTTTTTTTCCAATTGAAATTTAACCATGTATGTATATGTTTAACTTCGATACATGATAATTTTTTTAGTTTTAAGGAAGGTGATCTTGCAGTATTTTTTCCAAATAGTAATGATCTTGCAAATGCTCAATGGCAAGCATTTCATCTCGAATGTCCTCATTACTTTATACGTGAAGCCGAAATTAATGACTCGGCAAAAAATAAAAGATGTATTATTGCAAGAATTGAAGAAATTACTGAATATATATCAGATTCAAAGGTTCATATATATTCATTTATTTGTTTATTATAATTTCATCATAAACAATGAAATTAACTATATATTTCAATTAATATATATATATATATAGAATCCTGAAATTCCACAATATGGATTAGCCGACGGAATGAAATTTTATTTATTAGATGTTGAAGTATATCAAGCTGATTCGACACCTTATGCTTCTCGTCGTCGATCGGTATCAGAAGCCCAAACAAACAAAAGTTCGAGAAACAACGGTAATATTCAATTAATGAGTGCATCTGTTTCAAGCCTTTCAAATACAACAACGAGTGTTTCTAGACGCTCCAGTGCAAGTTCTTCCAGAAAACGTGTAACTATAACAAGTATGCCAATATCTACCAATACCAATACTAGTCAATCTCCTCAATCATCATGATAATGATGACGACTCAAAAAGAGTTCTGAAATTCTTAATATAAATTTTATTTTTATATTACTTTTTTATTATAAAATTTTGTTTTTCTTATTTATTAGTGCAAAAAATTTTTTTTTGTTCAATTAGCTGTAATTTATATGTAATGTAGAATTAATGATAGAAAAACGATTTATTTTTTTCTCTTTTAAATAAAATTGTACGAGTATTAAACTGCTTTTTTTCTGAAACTTATATAACGTTATCACTATTTTATGCGATTCAAAATTTTTTCATAAACTGCTAATATTGATGAATCTGCAGACTTTTCTTTTATATTCCAACGAAGTGGATTATAGCCACCAATTCTCTTGGTCTTCTTAATTTTCGTGGTAATTAGAGCTTGTTTAATTATCAATAAAACTGATCTAGATCGATCAAAAGCTTCAGAAAGAGTCAAAAGGTAAATTAATTGAGTTGTAAACGTCGTATTTTCAGTAGTCTAACTAGAAATTTAGCTCTTGGACCTTTTTGAAGTAATAGCGTCAATTGCCATTCATCACTAAGATTGTGAATTTCTCTATAAATCTCTTCGTTGAACACCTGTTTAAACGGCATAATTTCATAGATTAGCAAAGAAAAATTAATTAATATTTCCGTTTATAACTTCAAAAAAATTAACTGATTTGATAATACAATTTTCTATATAATATTCTTAGATTTTTTTTTAATTCTTCCTTCAAACAAATGTCTGATAATTTGAGCTTTCCGGTCGAATCGAACGTTCAGGTTCGAACCAGCAACTTAGATCGATCAAAAGCTTCAGAAAGAGTCAAAAGGTAAATTAATTGAGTTGTAAACGTCGTATTTTCAGTAGTCTAACTAGAAATTTAGCTCTTGGACCTTTTTGAAGTAATAGCGTCAATTGCCATTCATCACTAAGATTGTGAATTTCTCTATAAATCTCTTCGTTGAACACCTGTTTAAACGGCATAATTTCATAGATTTAAAGAATAATGTCTTGTCATATAATTTTTAATTCTTTTGATTTTTGTTTCTTTTAGTTTGATTGTCTTTGGTTTTTTATTCTTTAGAGAACTTTATTGATTTTTTCTTCTGAACTTGTAGTTTGTCTAATCCACCATTTAACGACATGATTCCAGATATAATAATAAATTTAAAATGGACAAATATTTCAGGGAGTTAAATTTCTAAATATCCTTTATGTAGTTAGTATCAGTGGGGTATGATTGAGAGTTTCTTGTGTTTAATTTTAGATAGTAAGATATTTTCTTTTAATCGCTTCTTCATCTTTGAAATCATTAGAAACTTAATACCGAATAGTTGTAGGTCATATATGATAACAATGCACAAAACTTCATCAAAAAATTTCCTTATCCTTGCTGGTCCATAAACTCCTAATGTATGCATTACAGCCCTTTGGTTCCAAAAGCTTTTGTTCTCTAGGATTTTTCCTTGGAGGAGTTATTTAAATTTGCCACGTTAACAGTTCCGAGATTTTCATAATTAATTTGCTATTTTTCATCAACTTTTCATCAGATTTGATCATCTATGCGAATAAATAAACTTTTATTTTCACTTTGGAAACTAGCAAATCTTTATCAACACCTTTCCTGGACTTACTTCTTGTTTCTCAGGTATGGCCATGGCTCTTTCATCGCTAAAACGGAAATGGTTAGTTAAAAGAAGGCCAACATCTTCTTCCTTTCTATATCAATATGCTTTTCTAGTAAATAGTTTTCTTTTGCCAGAAACCAGGATTAATATTCTTTATTTATTATAATATTGTGTAAATTTGGGTTTGGGAAACACACTTGTTTCTTTTCATATTCTTGAATTGATATAGGAATGATTCTGGAACCAAGAATTATTGCACTATTAGGAGTATTTTAAAAAAGGAAACGTTTATTAAAAAACTTTTATCGACGAAAAAAACAACGGCTAACAAATAGATAAAACGACTAACTAAGGTTCTAGTTTTTCCGCAACCTGGTCCAGCAATAACACATATTCGCGGAGACGAATTTATTATTCAGAAAAAAAATCTAACTGATACTGATAGCAAAGCGAGTTTTGTTCGCACCAAAATTGCTCTCTTCGTCCTTAGGAAAAATCAACGACAGAAGCAATATTAAGGAGTGGTGGTTAATGTGGGGAAAAGGATAAATACTCTGATTGGTTTTAAATTTACTTTAATATATATATGAATTAGTGCGTATTTTTCTGTGTATTATTAGTTGTATGGTTGGCTCGATCTAAAGACCTTCTATTGCTGCGCCACGCGCTCAAATTTCAAAAAATAGAGATTTCGTGATTTGTTCAAAAATGCAATAAAAATTTTTTAAAAAAAGGATTTCACGTTGGTTTCCTACCGCCAAATTTAGATATGATGGTCGAGTATTAGTTTAAAGTTAGTAATGATATTCAAAAACTAGTCTAAATTTAACAATGATCCTAGCTCTCAAATTTCTCATGAACATAGTAAAGTACATGTTTTAAAAAAGAATAGAACTCTACAACAAATAAATTTTTTGAGAGAATCTCTTTATTACATTAAGACTAAATACATATTATATCAACTAATAGAGCAATTTTTTTAAAAGATAGGACAGAAAATGACTTCTATACTTTTAAAATTTGCCCAAAATTTAGGTCTTTAGACCGAACCAACTATATCAATTAATCACTATTTTTTGACACGTTTTTTCTCAATCAATAAAGAACAACATCGTCCAGTAATTTAAATTCGCTATGCAAATTCTTTGTAACGCGCGAATTTAATTATAATTCGTTAAAACGAGGTCTTGCTATATTTTGAAAAAGTAAAAAAAGAGAAAGTTGAAAATAAACGCTTGATATTTTTGGCCACCTCTATAGCTCAGCTCCATCCATTAATCTTTTAATCCTAGTCTCCTTTCAATTTAGGACAAGAGTTTCATCACCAAATGGTAGTAGAAATGCTTTGGTCTCTGGGCTCCCTTCTCGATTGCGTACAATTACAAATTGTAAATAAATATAAGATATTAAGTCAGGTTCCACGCATATACAAGCCCCTTCTTTGTTGTCCCCATGGTGACCATTTGGAACAAAATATCTGAATATAGAAGAAGCTTTAATAGACTCCTCAAAAAATGAAGAAACCAATGCAATTTCAATAAATCAATAGCTCCCTGAATTTTTTATTGTCGAGTTTAATAAAAATGTCTCAAAATAATTTAATTCTTGGAGTCAATTGTTTATTAATCTGACGAATCAAAATGGGGTGTCAAAAAATTAAATATAATTAGCAACAAAATTAAAAATTTTATTTATCTTGGAAATAGACATTCTAAACTATGCATATTCTTTTTTGAAAGCTATGAATAGGATTTAATTTGGCCACTTTCTCTGCCATTGTATTTATCTGTTTCACTGAAAAAACGCTCACTTGGCATGGATACTCAAATATTTACTTGCTAACCTAGCCAATATTGGGAAAAAAATTTGATGGTCCTTCCACCACAAAATCCCAATCGAACCCTCCTATTAAGATATATTCTTGATACTAAAGAGTAATAATAATAGTTAATAATAAATTTCCTTCAATAGCCGTTGGGATATTCGATTCAGGACAGCATTTGTTTTGTAAAAAAAAAGTTATAAAACCTACAGTATATTAATTTGGTTTAACTCACGTGATTGTAACAATTTAAATTGTATGTATATTTTATTTATATATTATATTTATAATGAATTCTGTATGTGTGTGTATGCGAGTGAATGCAGATATATATGTGTGTGTGAATTATATAACTTTTTAATCTTTCTTTCTCTCTTTCTATTTTTACTAAAGTCTCAATAAAATTATAAAAATTATAAACCAATTAATTTATTAATTATTAAATCTATAACAAAATCCAATTGTTAGATGTTAAAATTAAAAATTAAAAAATTTTTTTAAAATAAAATAAAATAATCACAATTATCATTCATCTTCAGAATCAGTAATATCATCATTTAATTGAGTTAAACCTAAACTTTCTTCATCGAATGCATTCAGTAATGTTGCATCCCTTGTTCTCATCAAAGAATCATGATGATGATGATCACCAATTGATGATAACATTATACTGCTATTTCCACTCGTATCACCACCACTACCCAATAATGTATTATTTTCTTTCAACGATGACGCCAATCCAATTCCTTCATTCTTTGCAATATTTAATAGATAGACACCGGCAAATATCGTTAGGAAACCACAGAATAATGTTATTAAATTCGCTGTATTGCCAGTATTAAAACCTTGGAATAATAATACAGACGCTATTATCGTTGATGTTGTAAAAAATACATAATATATTGGATTTACACTAGGAAAATGTGCATGAAGGAAGGAAATAAAAAATTTGCGAGTGAGAATGAGTAATATATTAATAATAATATATATATTAATATCACATAAACATTACACATATAAACGCTTACATGTTTGTAGAGAATATGTCTAACGCTTTGTTGAAATAATTCATTTGTACTAATATACATACAACAGATATAATTATAAATACATAAGTGGATGTATGACTTAATTGATTATTTCCTGCAAATGTCAATTTCAATGCTATTCCAAATCCTTTACATGACATCACTGATATTGATCCAACCAGCGAACAAATTGATAGAAATACCACAGGGTTCTTTTTGCCATATTTTGGAACCAATTTATATATTGCGACAAATGTATACATGAATACTATCACACAATATGCCATAAATACTATTGATGTATATATATATGTGTTTGTGTGTGTGTTAGATGTGTTATATATGATGATATATATATATATATGTTTATTACTGACCAGGTTTCAGAGCAAAACTTAATATTTCATCAACAGTGTTAATTTCTTTATCAGCTGGAGCATGAAGAACAATTATAATTGATCCAATTAAACACAATCCACATCCAACTGAACCAATTTTTCCAAGTCTTTCCTTTAAAATTACATTACAGTATTAATAATGAACCTTATTGTTGCTATTATCCTAATAAGGCTTATGAAAATAACAATAACTTTCTTAGAGATGGTTTTAATTTGTTGGAAGAATGCGAAGTGTATAGATTAGCAAAGAAAAATTAATTAATATTTCCGTTTATAACTTCAAAAAAATTAACTGATTTGATAATACAATTTTCTATATAATATTCTTAGATTTTTTTTTAATTCTTCCTTCAAACAAATGTCTGATAATTTGAGCTTTCCGGTCGAATCGAACGTTCAGGTTCGAACCAGCAACTTTGGTTCAAACCGTCAAACGTTTAAATATTCTAATCAAACGAGTCATTAAAAATATGAGACATTGTCACCAAGAATTCTAAATCTATTGTAGTTGGGTATATTATGGCGAAATCATAAAAACATTGACCTTCGGTTAAAACTGATATTTTGAACTTCAAACTTTCAAAAGTATACAAAAATTTATTAAAAAATTTCAATTTTATTCAATACGCGCGTATTATCACATGTTGAGATTTCAGATAAGATTATTGAATAATTGTTTTTTTTTGTTTTTTTGTTTTTTTGTTTTTTTAAGTGAGAAATATTTTGTCAGTCAAAGTATTATGAGAAGTAAAACTTTGCATACATAATTTTGAGAGTTTGTCATGTTTTGGAACACAGTTTAGCTCGAATTATTGAAATGGTTCGATGATTTGAATTACATAACTGATAATTGGTTCAAATCGAACCGTCGAATATTCAAATAAGAAATCCCGGCTCAAACCAGTTCCAGTTTTCATCCTTGGAAAATATAAACCCTTACTCGATGCCCTTGTGGATTCCAACCAAGATGCTTTAACATTAAAACAAATTAGTCAGCTAGTAAATGATTTAACAAATTTGAATGATTCAGATTTTAAGATATAGAAATCAAAGTTGAAGTCAGCCAATTGGATCAATAATGGTATCATTTTATTTGAGAAAGAAAACCTATCCCCGAAATATCTTAATAATAAGTTAAATTGTTATTGTTATAATTACAAATAAAAATCAAAAGGCCTGGTATGCATAACTTTATTAATAGATTTACAAAACTGCATCTTACCACATCCGATTTAATTTTAATTCATATGAATCATTACCATAAAGTCTGGAAAGATAGCATTCCCTTTTTTACATATGTGTAACATTTTTTTTATATTGACGCTCAATTGTTTTAAAGTAGGGGGTGCTATCTTTCGGGAGGTGCTATCTTTCCTGACTTTACGGTATCATAAAAAAATTTTTACGTTAATAAAAAGGTTGTTTCATTTTTGTGTGTCTATTAGATAAAGAACAGAAGATATTATTCAATCATTTTTCAGTACGCTAGGCATTTCGCCATTAAATATTAAATGCTAATAATCACCATGATAAATGTAACCAGGTTCAACAAAAATGTATAAAGGATGTCTTGTAAATTCAATACTGAATTAATCTGGACAAAGTTATAAAATTTTTGCCAAACGATGTTATTATCAACATTGTCTTCACTGTATGTGCAAAAGGATCGATTGACGCTCCTTCCTAGATAAACATAAAACAACAAATAAATGATCATCATTAGTTTACTTCCATCGCATCATTTTCCTACGGACATCCCTGAGGTAAATTACTTACTAAACGTAATTCCACGGAAAAGTTTAGTTTAGTGCAACTTGCAAATATCTACGTCATATATCATTTTGATAGTGCAGTAATATAAAGTAGAAATTAAATAAATGATGCAAAAAGTGCAAATTGTCTTTATATTTATAATTTACAAACCTACATTAAGGACAACAGAAGCAGCAGGGCCTAAAGTATCACCATTAGGTAATCTATAGGCCCCCTTCAATAATTAAAAACGTTAAAAACGGTGTGATATTAGCAACATGAAAAAAGAAACCTCAACACAACGCTTGCATAACGTACCTGGGAACTATAATAATAATGCCCAATCAAGTTCCTGTGGCAAACACCATATTTAAAAGCTGACCAGTAATGGTTGATCTAATATCAATTTTTTTATCGTGTAGGATAGCAACATTACAATTCGATGAACTATCAAGTAGTGGGTGACTTGGCAAGTCACATATCAGTTTCCTTGCGAACTGGACTTGGAGTGTTATTTAGAGTTGACCTTGGATAAAATTTCATTCAGTAGAAGAATGATTAATATTAAGTGTGGATGTGGGAAGACATTCGAAAAGTAATGTGTTTTTTCGACTGAAACGTGCGCATATAAACTACAACAATGTAAGAATATTAAAAATTGGTCTAGCCCCGAGAACTTTTATGAGAATAACCATACCTTGGAGTCAAAATAAATGATCATGAGATACATTTTGTTAAAAATATATACATTTTAAAATAAATTACCTAATTAAATTTTCTTACTAATATTCTTCTAGCAAACTAGCATAATAAGAATACCTACTATTAATTATATCAATATGACAAAAATCTTCTTCGTTACTTTGATTTTTGTTGTCATTGCTTTTGTCGTTATCATCAACATCATCATTGATATCATTATTATCATTGTCGTTAATGCTGTTTGCTGTCTTCATCATCCATTGGCCTTTTTATGAAAATGAAGAAGAGAAAAGCTCTAATTGTTAATAATTTTATTTCTATAAATTATTAACATTCAAAGATGACTAACGTTCAAAAAAAAAATTTACATCATTGTTAATGTTATATTTATCATGCATACCTCAAGAATATTAGCCTTTAATTGAAACAAATCTTTTGAAATGATGGCAACGAATCATCCTCATATTCATTATTGATATCATTGTTGTTAGGGAGTGCCCGAAATAACCTCATTTGTCCTGTTCGGTAGTGAAGTTACACATATGACCGGAAAAACTCTATTGAATGTGACCATCAACACTATGATTCGAAAGTACTTTAAAAAGAGTGATGATGGCCGCAACACTATAATAGTGAATTAAATTTAAATCCGAAAAAAGGAAACATACAGTATTAATATACTCGCTAACATTTTTTACCTAAACAGAAAAAAATACCAGTCAGTACGCACACCCTCGGCTGTAGAAGTCACCCTATAATAAACACACCCTCCACATGGATCTTGAATTGCTAAAATCAGGTGATGCTATAATTCTTCCAAATAAATACCTAAAAATTTCAATATAGAATAGTCATAGTAGAAATAAAGAATTCATGAATTCATTATTGGGAATTATTAATATTAAAATCATCAGAAAGACTGTCAAAATCACAAATTTGATACGTGAATGAATTTGTTCAAATTAAGAAAACCAATATCTTTTTTTTATTTTTTTACTATATAATTCCTTAAAACTGTAATTTTCATTGTATATATAACATATCAAAATTAAAAATTAATTGTAATTGACCGGTTTTTCCGGTTTGTTTTGATCTGGCTAAAATTATTATTTATAGAAACCGGGATTCAAACCGGATTTTATAATATATATAATAATAATAATATTATTATTATTACTATATTTAGTATAGCTTGGTTTGTTTATATATTAATTAATTACTATGAAACTCGTAACAATTTGCCCAATTGAATTGTTTCAAAATTATATATAGCTTGCATTGAAGAATCCTCTTCACATGGTTTGACAAATTATTGTAATTTTTTTTATGTATTTATTTATGTCACTATTTACCTTATTTGTTGAAAAACAAACAAACGCATATAAACCCGGTTGAAAATTGTTGAACCGGAAAAAATCTGGTTGAAAAGTTAAAATCTAATTAGTTCATGTAGCCGGAAAGATTTTAAAATTCATCCAATATTATTAAACATTGATTTAAAAGAGCTCTTTTTAAATCATATTTTTATTCCACCAACAAAATTAAATTCTATCTCCTCCTTAATCAACATTTTGTATGAGATTGATTATATTATAACCCACATATACTTTTTTAATATATTACAATGTAGAGAATTTTTTAAATAGTGCTATAATTCTTGGGATTCCATGGCAAATCTTATGTAAATCAGGTTCATATTTATATTTTTATACCCATTTAAGAATGTAAAGGATAAAGAATTTGTTTATCAAAAGATCTGGACATGAAAAGTAAAATTATAGCATTGTCTCTAATATTTACATTTATAGAGAAGGTGCTAAAAAAAAAGTATGTTGAGAGCTGAAATTGAAACAAGTGGATAAATGAATGAAGTCACTTTTGAATTAATAATAGAAAGATGATGAAAAGAAAAAAGCACAACTAGACATAGATAATAAAACAATGAGATACAGCAAAAGAACAATTTAATAAGTCAAATAAATATGAATTAAATAAGATCCTCTTGTACCTTTAAAATCTTGTTTAGTAAGTCTATAAACACTACTGACTAATTTACTTAGCTAAAATAAACCAATTACACTGAATAAGTCAAGTCATGGACCTAATAAATAGTGACTTGGATGCAGTGAATAATGCTCCAGTTTACTAAATCAAATCAAGTAGAGCAAGAAGCCAAATACCACAAATACTATAATTACCAATTAATTAACTAGCAAAAAGAGACTTGTGCCACCGAAAAGCAGACCATTCAGACCAATGAGAAGGTGTGTTATTGAACAAAGTGTGGGAAAATGTCAACTTGATTTAGGAATTATTATCAAAGAGCAAGTATTAAACAGAATAAATAAATTATTTGTTAAGGCTCCCACCCTAATAGTAGTGAGATAGTAAGCAAATCAAGTAAGTAATTAGCAGGCAAAGAAAATGTGATCAATGGTTTAAAAAGCAATATCAGTCGAACCTCGTTTCAACGAATCTTGTTTCAACATTACAACGAATATTTAAAGTGTTTGCTTCATATAACACGATTAATGATTTTGTATGACGAATTTTCTTATGTGTTCTGTCTCTGTAGATTTGTTGAAACGAAGTTTGACCTTTATGAAACTATTTTCCAATTTTTATATACGTTCATATTATTATTATTAATGACAAGATCTACTGAAAACATGCCATAAATAGAAATCTCAAACAGGAATCTCACTAAATGAATTCAAAAATGCAAGCCTAAATTGAAACGAGGTTAGCAGAAATTTACATACTTTTTGATTGAGGATGATCCACTTTTTGCTAACCATTGATACTATATTATTACAACTATAATTAAAAAGCGGTCATTCCATTTCGAGTAACGTAATAATGATAATGATGATGGTGAAAACATGAGGCAATTAATGTTAAACAATTTCGTTATGTCCGGTTTGTTCCTATATTAAATTATTTTATAGTAGTTGAGTGAATTTACCATAGCAAACTATGAAGCCCTTGCACATTCGGATTATTATTAATATCAAAATTCTAAGGA